CTTTCTGTTATTGACACGTTTTCGAAGTATGCTTGGACATATCCCTTAAAAAGTAAAAATAAAGACGTTGTATATGATGCATTTAAAAATTTGTTGGATAAAGGACGTGTTCCTAAAAATGTACAAACTGATAACGGAACAGAATTTTATAATAGTAAATTTCAAAGTCTTATAAAATCAAATAATATTAATCATTATTCAACTTTTTCGACAAAAAAAGCTTCAATAGTTGAACGATTTAACAGAACATTGAAGTCCGAATTATACAAAGCATTTAGTTTACAGGGTAATTATAATTGGATAAATGATATTCTCAATGACGTCACATATAAATATAACCACACCAAACATCGAACAATTGATGAAATTCCCGCAAAGGTTAATAATACTAATAAAACACGTATATTAAAAAGACATCTAATGTCGATAAAAAAAAATAATACAAAGAGTATGTTCAGAGTGGGTGACTATGTACGGATCAGTAAGTACAAAGGAACATTCGAAAAGGGATATACTCCTAATTGGTCGACAGAAGTATTTAAAATTAGAAAAATACAAAACACGGCTCCCATCACTTATTTAATCGAAGATACAATCAGAGGTCAACCTATTTTAGGAGCATTTTATACACAAGAACTTCAAAAAACAAAACATCCTAATGTATACTTAGTTGAAAAAGTTCTGAGGAGGAAAGGAAACAAGGTATTAGTAAAATGGCTTGGTTTGCCCCCTACCGAAAATAGCTGGATAGATAAGTCGAATATATTGTAATAGAACATATATATTAATCGTTACAACCACAATTAATCAGTATTATTATGTACTTAGGAGAGACTAGTCTTCTCAACTGGTTTATAAATAATTTACCATTTGAATTACATCTACCTGGATACAATTATTGTGGACCTGGAACCAAATTAATTAAGAGACTTATACGTGGTGATAAAGGTATAAATAAATTAGACGAATATTGCAAAGACCACGATATTGCTTATCATAGATCATCAAACTTGAAAGAAAGACACAAAGCAGATTTAGTTTTATTAAAAATGGCAAAAGCACGCGCAAATGCTTCTGATGCGAGTGTAAGTGAGAAGATAGCAGCTCATGTGGTGAATAAAGCTATGTTAGCTAAAATTAAAACTGGAACTGGTTTAAATAATGATCGTAAAAAAAACACTTCAAGAAAAATTTATTTCAACGTAAAAAATAAATTTAAAAATTTTATTTCTAAAACAAAAAAACACCTCCAAAAATTAAAGCCAAAAGGCAAGAAAATGGCAATTGAATTAGCTATGGCTGCTGCTAGAGAAATGATTGATGATTCATCTATTACACTTCCTCGCGTTATTCCTATACCAAAAACTGGTGGAGTATTACCTTTAATTCCTATTTTTGCGGGATTATCAGCGGTAGGAGCATTAACAGGTGGTGCAGCTGGTATTGCTAAGACTATTAATGAATTCAAGATTGCTAAAAAGCATTTTGCGGAATTGAAGAGACACAACGAAAAAATGGAAGCTCTTTGCATTGGAAAAGGATTACATCTTAAACCTCATAAAGATGGACTAAATATTTATGTATCGAAACAAAAAAACTAAAGTATCGGCTACCTAATCGTCCCTTAAATAACTTTGACATTTTAAAATATGGGAATGGTATTCCTCATTTTCGAGGAGTGTTTATGCGAGATGAACTTCCAATACAACCTTTTAAAAAAGAATGTGGGGTCATTAATTTAGATAGTTCTAAAAATCCTGGATCTCATTGGGTAGCCTATGTAAAATATAATGATTATATAGAATATTTTGATAGTTATGGTAATCTTAAACCTCCAAAAGAATTGATAAAATATTTAGGTTCTAAAGTTAACTATAATTATGATGATGTACAACGTGACCACCCTTTTAATTGTGGTCATCTTTGCTTAATTTTTTTAAGGAAATTTTGGGATGCGCACAGAATAAAATAAATAGTATATCTCATTATAGTTCAGTATAAAAGTATGTCTATAACGGTCACCATCTCCGGAAATAAATCAGAATTGACTTCATACTTTCAACCACCTTTGACCTTATTTGGTCAATATGAGTGCGGTTTGCTATCTTTTTCTGTATTGAACTCAGTGCAACATTTTCGTAATAATATTCAACCTGTGCTTAGAATTGAATGTGATCTCGTACATGGTTCATACTCCAACGGATTACCAACTCATGTGATTCACGAATTTATGTCTAGTACCGCTCCGGGTAATTGGTGCATAGAATCACCGCAAAACGTTATCTATTTGCCTGTAAACAAAACATTAATCCCATCTATATCTATTAAGATTGTTGACCAATTCGGTCACAGCATTGACTTTGGAAAACAACAAATTGAACTACGTCTTCATTTAAAAAAGATAAAATGATTTTATATTATAAAAACCCAGCAGTTAATGTAAAGCGGCTTATTCCTTCCAAGACGTCTAAAGTGCAAGGACGTAACCAAACAGTGAAAAAATTGACAAAGTCGAATAAAGATTTTCTAAAGGCGCTAGGCTTCCAGATATGAATATATTACAGGTTTGTGAATTACCACACTTTGACACTTCGATCGAAAGTTACGAAGTTCATTCTTACAATCCATACAATAACAGTTTTAGAGAAAATGATGAAATCAGAATTCCCATACATCAGCAAGATATATATGTACTGCCATCGGCCAGCTCGATTTACATTGAAGGTGAAGCAAAACTCATCGGAAAAGATGGAAACCCGATCAAAAAAGTGGTTACGTTCACTAATAATCCTCTTATGTTCTTGTTTCAAGACATCAGATACGAAATAAATGGAATTGAAATAGACCGTATGAAAAATTCTGGCATATCATCAACAATAAAGTCATACATTTCATTAAATGAAGCAGAAAATAAAGTTGCAGCCTTATGGGGTTGGAATTTAACCGGTTTTAAAAGCGATGGTCATTTTAGTTTTGTAGTACCCTTAAATAAAATTTTAGGGTTTGCTGAGGATTATAATAAAATTGTAATTAATTGTAAACACGAGCTTATAATGAACAGAAGCAATTTTAATTTAAACAGTGTTATCCTTAGCGATGATGTTACAAATTTTCAAATAAATATACAAAGGGTGCAGTGGAGAGTGCCACATATAAAAGTGTCAGATCGAGAACGACTCACACTTTTGAAATATTTGGAAAAAGATAAACCTATTCAAATGGCATTTAGGAATTGGGATTTGTATGAATATCCTCTACTACCCAAATCTACAAAGCATTCTTGGTCAGTTAAAACGGCTTCACAATTAGAAAAACCAAGATATGTAATTTTCTGCTTACAGACTAATAGAAAAAATAATAAATCGAAAGACAGCTCAGTATTTGATCATTGTGATGTGACAAGCGTAACGCTATTTTTGAATTCTCAGTATTACCCTTATGAACCTTTAGGCTTAAAATTTTCTGAAAATAAGTACAGTATATTATATGAAATGTATGTGAGATTTCGTCAGTCGTATTATAACAGCCCAGTCGACCCGTTGCTTGAACTGAAAGATTTGAAAGAAAAAGCACCACTCTTTATCATAGATTGTTCAAGGCAAAATGACAGTTTAAAAACTGGCCCGGTAGACGTAAGGTTGGAATTTGAGTGTTCAACATTGATACCAGACAATACAACTGCTTATTGTTTAATTATTAACGATCGACTTGTGGAATACAAACCTTTAAGTAACATTGTGCGCAGGCTATCATGACTGCAATTGTAGATGTTCAAGGTTTCAAAACCGAAGTTAACGAATTTATAATAAAGGAAATTGCGATATTATGTGATAAAAAAATACAGGTATTTCTAATAAAACCTCCATTCCCATTTTACGATTTGACTAAACAAGAACGGCGACAAGTAAGTTGGATCGAGCGCAATAGAAAGATACACTGGAATGAAGGAATTGTGCCTTATTTAAATTATAAACATTTGATTGTAAATATTTTAAGAGATAAATGTGTTTATGTTAAAGGTTCAGAAAAAATGTCGTGGTTAAGAAACATTGTAAAAAGTATTAACGTTAATAACTTAGAAGATAAAGGTTGTCCTAGTTTATTAAATTTATATGAAGAATATAAAAACTGTCATGATCTGTATAGTTGTGTTTATCATGATTCAGTATGTGCCTTGAAAAACGTTCTCTGTTTAAGTAAATGGTGTATAAAGTATATGGAATAAATAATCTAATTAACTAATAAATTGTTTCAAGTATTTTTTTCTTGTTTTATTATAAAATGTCGATTAATAGTAATTCCTACAGTTCATGGTTTAGTTTTCACACAGATGTTTGAATCAAAGTATTGATTAAGTGAATACAATGAAAACCATATAAGAAAGTGCATCGAATGAATATTGAATGATGTCATACAATACGTGTATCGTTAAAAATAAACAAAGGGCATAAAGTAGCCCGCTATTTTGCTACATATTTGACGACACGTTTGGCTTAATGGTTAAGATCTGATCACAACACAATTCAATGCTAAATTTCATGTTCTTCAACCGCAAAGACAAAGTGTCGTTAATATTTATACCGGTCTTGTTTTTTTCTTGTTAAATGAAGATTCGTAATAAAATTTCATTTAACCGCTAAATATTATGATTAGGAACAGGTTGAAGATACAGATCATATCAGATTACAATAATAGGTACTCAGAATTAAAATATAATGTATACTCTTACCCACGGAAAACAGATCACATCAGATTAGAACATTATTCTATACTTACATAAAATATAAAAACTATAAGTTTACAGAAAACAGATCTGATTAGGTCAGATGATTTTGCACCAGTTCTAAAATAGACATATGATCAGATCACGAAAACAATATATCAGACTAGAAGTGGTATTTAAATAAATGAAATTACATTATTTGAATAGATGTCTCATTTAAATTAATGTATAATTGGGGTTGATGGATCTCTTTTGATCCAGAAACCCCAATTATACACTACTCGCAAGCGATGGCCACATTCAGCACTAGTATCGCCAAGAAGACGGTGAAGCTGAACGCGTACAGGGATCCCCGTAGTCCTGCAATCCAGTACACCACCAGCGTGAACAGGGTCGGTTCTACCAGCAAGCCTGGCAACTGGAAATAAAGTAAATTAATTAGTATTTTTAACGAAATATTCTTTTAAAATAGGTATTTAAAACGAAAAAATAAACATAGTAGATTACACCTAGTACAAATTGAGCACCTACATAGCAAATAACATAACATCACATTTATCCCCGAAGGGGAAGACAGAGGTGTACATTATACCACTGTACAATGTAACACCCACTTTTCACTATTTATGTTATGGAGTCCCATGTAATAAGGGGGTGAGCCTATTGCCACATACCGGGCACAATTTCAGACTCCGTGCTACTACTGAGAATTTTTTTAAACCCAGTAATACTTCGCCCGACCTGGGAATCGAACCCGAGACCCCTTGTCCGGCAGTCGCACTTGCGACCACTCGGCCAGCGAGGCAGTCCAAATACAAAATAAATGATAAATCAGTGACGTCATGCCCGAAATCACAAGGACAGAGACAGCGTTTTCTTTTTCTACTTAAATGAAAATTACTTCTATGAACTGCTTTCATTTACCATTCAATAGAAAAACAAATGACACGTCAGTGACGTCATACTCAAAATGACAAGGATAGAATAGAATCATACTATGTTCTCTCTATTTAAATGTTACCGGTATTCCAAAACAGCTGATATGTGCTTGTTTGTAGACGAAGGCAGGAAATTAAAAAAGACAACAATGTACGCATGGACATAGGCAGAATGAATATTTTTTTTTATTTTGAATCTGTTAAACTTGTTATGATGTACTTATTGGGTTGCTACGCTAGGCACCGGTAGCACGTGGGTGCTCACTACACAATTATATCAGAAGGTTACATGGTTTGGACACCAACATCGACACCGGTTTGATAATTTGTAATCTTCTTTTATTTTTCTCGAAAGCAATTGGCAACATGTCACATTATAAAATTTTATAATTGGGTTGTGTCCAGGGTATCAAAATTAAAAATCTAATTAGTCCTTCAGTTAGATAATGAAAAATTTTAGACACGTATTTTTTTATTTTCTCGTATTAAGACTGGATTATTTTTAACCATATAATATACAGCCAATAGAAATACTTAGAGAAAATGGCGCTAAGTTTAGGAGTAGGAGGTCGTTACGTCATAACGGGCTACAAGCTGTGACGTCACATGATATTTCAAATTAATATATCGTCGAAAGTATTAAATTTTGTGAGAAAAGAAAAGAAAAAATACGTGTTTAAAGTTTTAAATTAAACTGTCAAACATCGCGAGGACCGGTGTCCGCACACCTATTGTTCTTTAATTGTGTCTATAATGACGGTAGGTACTCAAAGGGTAGGTACTTAATGTACCAGAAGGACATTAAAATAAATTTAGGAAACTACCCTACTTCTTCTAAATAAAGCAAAAAAGGTAAGTTATGATGCCATGTATAATGTCATTTGTCTGATTTTCATTCTTTTGTTTCAATTGCAAGTTTGGAACTTGCATATGAACTTTACCTAGCTGTGGCAAGGATCAGGCGCTATATCCCAACTTTTCCAACAAATTATACAGAATGTTTAACCGACTTCAAAAACAGTAGGTTCTCAGTTTGGCCTGTGTGTATGTTTGTGCACGATTTTCTCGCAAATGGCGGAACTGATTTTGAAGCGGATTCCAGAAAAGTGTCTGTTATACTTAGGGCCTGTTTCAAAATATCTGGAAACCCGTTACCTACCAGATAAATTTGAATTAAGAACGTAATTTGTATGAACTATCTGTCACATAAGTTTATCAGATACTTATATAGAGGTGGTGAAACCGGCGCTTAGGATGAGGTTTTAGTATATTAATTAACCGACTTCAATAACAGATGGGGGTTGAAGTCGGTTGTCGTAAACGGTCTTTATCAAAGACGTATCTTTCCTCTTTCTTGTCCTATCAAACCCTTGTCTTGTAGGACTATAACAATAACACATCATCATCATCATTATAATCATCATCATCAGCCCGTATTCGTCCACTGCTGGACATAGGCCTCTCCAATGGCACGCCACTGAGCTCGGTCTTCAGCTCTTCTATCACAGATAAGATAAAAAAAATAATTGAAACCCGTCTAATCTGGATCTAACCGTTCATGCGTGTTGGGATTTCGCACATATGTATAAATTAGAGTGGAATTCACGTAAAAAATATTTGTCTCTAAATAAACCTTTTGGATTCATATTTATATTGGTCACATGTAGTTCAACAACAATCCTAATAAGAACATACTATAAAACAAGTTTTTTTATATTACTCAATGTTACTCATTGGCAAATATTTTCATCGACACTGGTTTGAACCGGAACGAAGTGGAATTAAAAAGTATTAAACCCTTGGCCATACAGGTTTTAGTGATTTCATTTTAATTAGCAGATTAATTCAAGAAGATACTTAATAATTTTTTATTGAGTCATGATAAAACATTTATTTTTTTATTGGGCAAATGTAGTGGAATATTTTGTTGCTTATAGGTACATTGTCCGAAATAAGCGAGAAAATGAATGCATGCGTGCGTGTGTGTGTGTGTGTATGTGTGTGGTGTGTGTGTGTGTGTGTGTGTGTGTGTGTGTGTGTGTGTGTGTGTGTGTGTGTGTCTTGTGCCTTATTATCAAGCTTCATATCAATAAGGTTTAGGGGCAAGAAGGTATAATGTTTTGATTTATTTTAAATTACATTAAATCGGTACCAATACTACCCAATAACAGATTTCGAACGCTCCCTGTTCTTCATGTTACTGTTATATTATGTTACCAATCGCAATCCACTCCCAACTTACCAATGCCACCATCCTCGCAGTATAATAAACAGGCGCTGAGTACAATCCAGCCTTCAGCTCCCTGTTGAGTAGCGGGAACTCTTCGGGAAACATGTGGAGGACTGAGTACATGGGGCTGAAGGTATTTTCTGCTATGATGATGAAGAGGGCACCCTGGACATCTTGGATACCAGACTGGGTCAGCCGGGCAGTGCCCATGAAGCACATACCTGCTGTTAGGGCTATAGCCTGGAAATAGTAAATAAATTATTATTATATATAATAAGTAAATAAATAAATTCAAGTGTGCTTCGGCACGAATGGGCCGGCTCGACCGGAGTGATACCACGGCCTCACAGACAACCGACGTGAAGCAACGCTTGTGTTGTGTTTCGTCGTGTGAGTGAGGTTACCGGAGGCCCAGCTCCCTCCCCCCTTCCCCAACCCCCGAATCCCCAACAATCCTCAACAAACCTCAAACTCCTAATCCCCAAAAGTCCGGTAACGCACTTGTAACGCTTGGTGTTCCAGATGTCCATGGGCGACGCCGATTGCTTACCATCAGGTGATCCGTCTGCTCATTTACCGGCCATGTATGCCATAAAAAATAAGTAAGAAAATCTGTTGATAGATAAGTAGGTCATTACCTAAGTTAACCAAAGTTTACGACGGTCTAACATTCAAATTACTTCTGCCAATTAGTACCTATCATATTAATGAACTAAGTTATGTTTTATGTATCAACATAAATCTTTATTTCATTATGTTTGTCCAAGTAATCATAAATTAAAAACTATGTACCAATGGTGTTTTTTTTGCTTGTTTTATAACTTTGAAAGCCTTGAGAGGTAAAAATTTAGCTAGTTAACCAATATATTTTTTCACTTACCAATTTCTGTAGTATCCTCACGAATTGCACTCGGGGATCTCTGATTACAATTAGTAGGTATCTATATATTAACCACCACAACTTGGTGAGGAAGAATGGGGCTACGAAGGTATCATGAGGTTCTACAGCAAACTGAAAATAAGAAACAGATTCAGTATTAATAGCATCCTAAAAAGAAAATACTCTATTTTCTAATTGACTAATTCTTATTTGTAGTGTCCGTCGGGTTGATTATTTTAAGCATTAGACGCGCAAATTTAATTTTCCTAAAGAAACAAATACTTTCGAAGATTTGAATTGAATATTTGAAATATCGTGTGATGTCACGTAAAAAAGGGTTACATAATCGTCGGACTAAATAGATTTTTAATTTTCATACCCCGTCCATTATACCTTTTATAGAATGCGACGTCAACAAAAGTACCTCTGGCTATTTTAAATTAGCAGTAGATGTACTACTATCGCTAATCGTTAATTATATACGGATCCACTACTAAAATTACATAAATAATAGAAAAGCCTAGAATGTAGCCTTGTGGTACACCAATCGTAATTAATCGCTTCCGAGGATCATTTAGCATTCTATAGGCCTATTGCACAACATTTCGTTTTGAAACCGGTAATCAAACGTGAGTCATCGTACATTTGTTGTTATTAATGTTGTTAACTATTTTTATTTATATAAACTGTATATCAAAGGCTTACGTAGAGTCAAAGAATTACTTACGGATCGTGTAGAATCTTCGTTATCCATCATGTGGAATTCATATTGTATTTCCATGTCAAGTTCTTTGGCTTCGTCGCTGACTGCGAATCTATCGCAGACATTTTTGATAGCTTGGCGTGAAGCTGACTCTGAACCAGGAGTTAGAGACAGCACTTTGATGAAGTAGTCTGTAGGGTTGTACATGAGGGGGCATTGGTAGCCGAGACTGAAACAACAATAAAAGAATAAATTAACTATAGTCCAGTGATGTAGTGGCATTCCATAATATTTCTTATCGTTAATGTTATTTTTACGTGAAGGATAATCTTTTACTACAATTAATTAGGCGTAGAAATTTACACGTCTACAGAACATGACTTGATTTATTACCTATAGTTATCATGAATCCTATCTATCGGAATACTTTTTGCTCTCTTAATAGTGATCGTTATTAAATCCTAGTTCCTTATTACTTAATTATGCATACCTTTCAATATTATAGCACCATCGTCTGATATTATGCGGTTTAATACATGAAGTTCTGTCTTGTAAAAACTGTCATACATGTCCTGTATGTTAATTAGTGAATGATTTGCGAAGGAAATACCAGATATTGACATTAACCAAGTTCAAGACTCATGTTTGACAAGTTCTTATTATTAGGCCGAGTATTAACAGTTCAAGGTTTTTGTTGCTCATTATTAATTTGCATAATAGCTGCTAATATTATTGATGGACCTATCTACAATAATTATGGTAACTATATTGAACACGTTTGTCTGTCTTTACGTATGAATCTTTTATTTTGTGGAATACATTATCGTTCTTATGTTTGTCGTTAATCAAATACCTAATAAGTATGCTTGAACTATAGGGACTTTCCGAGAGTCAAGTTTCTTTGGGATATATTACCATGTTATTTGAAATCAGATCAGGTCTCTAGGAGGTAGAAACTGAACATTCAAACATTTCATTTTGTCATGTCTCCTAGAATTTGTTCCACAGTAATCTTAGAAATCGTTTCCATATGCGTGCAGTATGTCGCGGAGAACCTAACGGGTAACCGGGGCTCCGGCTCGACGTGCAGGAGAAGGACGGGGTGGTTTTTAGTCAGTAAGAGTCTGATACTCCCTTCCGCCTCACCCAGGCGGGAGCAGTCATTCGATGATTTTCCCCCCTTAAAAAAAATGCATGCAGTATGCAGCGAGTGCCTTCATTCATTTTTCGGGGATTCTAAATACCTGATTTGATGACTACCTACGACTACACAGATATTCGTATGGTAATCGAATTAAAAAGAATAAATATTCAATTGCATTTCATTAAATAATAATAAATGTATTCCTATTGCTCAATATGATCATTAAGCGCTGTTATTTATGATGTTTGTTTTACATTAAAATGTATAAAAATGTCATCAATAGGTACCTACTGACGTTATAGGTCATTAACTCACTTATGGTACAAGTTTCTCATGTTTTACGTGATGAAAACTGGCGTAGACTTGTTATTATATTTTTTTATGATAAACAAACAAACGTACGTAACTATTACGTAGGTGTAAACATCAACAAAAAGTTGTTTCGCATAGTTTTTACTAGCTGTGCCTACGACTTCGTTTGCGTGGAATAGTGAAGATTCGCAGCTCCTCCCCCGTAGGTGATATCGTAATAATATGTTAACATAACCTGTTAGTAATATTCATGCAAAATTTGGAGCAAATCCATGCAGTACTTTTGAGTCTAGCTAAGACATAAGTACGGACAAACAGACAAAAATTCTTGAAACTATATTTTTGGCTTCGATACCGATTGAAGGCTTGTACGTCACGCACAAAGTATTTTTTTTTTTAAATATTCAATGTACAGTTTTGAATTTTTTACGATTTTATTGTATGTATAGATAGAGATATGTATAAATTATAATTTGGTGTCTACGTGACACCTATATGTTATAAAAACCTGGGCTAGTGACATTATTCCTATGTAATAATTATACAACTTTTTTTAGGTAGATAAAATCGAAATATCTGTTAGCCGAATCTCAATATAATTCTTCTATATCGAAGCTAGACCGAAGCTAAGACATATTTTAGATATTTTCACACGAAACGAAGATTATTTATAGAAGTATGTACTTATATCGATTTATTTATCAAAAAACATTTTATATGCATTTTTTCCTCGTTAAAATTTTATCTTTTTATCTAACAATAAGTAGATGTAGATGCATTCGGACTAGAAAAATATTTGTTGCTAAAAACCTAATGGCGATGAATGAGTGGATTAAACTACGAACCAGTCCATCTATTGTATTTAGAGGTCAAATTTTAACATAATTGATACCTGTAATCTGTAGTAGTTCTAGAAAATTCTCTCTTAGAAACTAAACTGAAGCAGTAGCCATATTATTATGCCATTGACCTCTTGTCTACATGTAGAATAGAAAACCAAATTATATGGGATTTTTTTTAAGGGGGGAAAATCATCGAATGACTGCTCCCGCCCGGGTGAGGCGGGAGGGAGTGTCAGACTCTTACTGACTAAAAAACACCCCGTTCCTTCTCTTGTACGTCGAGCCGGAGCCCCAGTTACCCGTTAGGTTCTCCGCGACAAATTATATGGGATTGAGGTAAATTTTGACACTTGTCAGTGTCATCCCCATACATTTAGTTTTCTACTCTCTCTGTAGACAAGCGCTGAAGTGGAGTTTTAGCTAAACTGCTAAAGGCACAGAATGCTCTAGCTGCATAAAATCAAATGCACTAAATACACTATGAAGAGAATGGCATTGTTGTACGTTTATACGTCAGGAAGTCTTATTAGGGTCACAGCCTGGACTAGGCCAGTTAAATGATGGGGCAATTGTATTGGATCAACATTAATTATTACTTAGTTGAGATGTCCAATAAAACCACTGTAAGAATAGACAACAATTTTGATTCAAAGGTTTTTAACGGACTATTTTTTAACAGACTAAAAAAAGAAGGTTCGGATCGATTTTTGACAGTTATTTTGAAATGATTAAATTGATTTAGTTATATTATTAGATGGAAAGGGTGCAAATGCAATAATATTTTATAAATTGGTTTTATTGAGGAAATGTTAAAAGTATCTTAATATGAATATTTAATTATTCTTTTCATACGGAAAATAAATTACTTATATGACAAACTATATAAATATCAGCCAATGTACAATAAAAAAAATAAAAATCAAATTCAAAGAGAAAATTATTATTTTTTTATTTTGCTTTAAAATGGTCTGGTAAATGTACCCAAATATTTATGGGAGATATAAATTTGATGGGAGAATTTTTGTCGTAGCTGGTATAATTTTTGCTCCGTATAAACCACAAGACGCACGCACACATATTTTTGTTGCTATTGTTTGGTGACCACAGGATGGTGACACTCTATCTAGACATTATAATTATTATCAAAGGCGTGGCCTGAAATCTACACTTGCCAAACTTTAACGTTTGATGACAAAAAATAACTTTAACGTTTTGGTTTAGCAGTTTTAATCCTAATTAAAGCAAATCATGAATATCAAATAGGTAATCAGTATTCATTACGATCTAATTTTTTCGAAATAGTCTTTATTCTACAGATTTCCGTAGCGATAGTTAAGTAATTTAGCATAGTAATGTAATACTTACATGCCGTATCTATGTTAAAATCAAATAAGAACGGAATAATGTTATTTTTAATAAAATTTTCATTAAATGTTAAAATTTAAATTAATTAAAATGATTTTTTTAGTTTTTTTTATTCAAAAAAATATCAATTAAGATAAGACAAAATGTCCTGGTTAGACCGAAGTTGTAACAAATATGTAGGAACAGGTATTTGGGGGTCAAAAATGCTATACTATGCAAACATTGTAGATATAATTATTATTGTAATGTAATCTTCATAACCAATAACCTGTTTACCGACAATAATAAAATGCATTAAAGTAATCTGATATCTTACCATCTAGTATTTAAACTATGACTTAAATTTAGATAGACAAGATAAAAAGTAGTCAAAATAGTAAATTATTTCTAAATACATATTAATATTAGTTTATAATTAGAGTAATCTTTACCAAAGATCACTAGACAAGCATATTTTTGCATTCAATATACATAATAGGTACTGATGAGCTTTGTTTATAAAACGCAAACCCGACAAACGTAAAAAGATTAATATGGTACTAAATATTATCTCAATTTTGTAAATACTTCACACCTGTTTAATGAAATATGTACCTAAACCAATGCTCAATAATAATTATTCATTTACTAAGAGTTTTTATGGGATAAGCCGGTACACTAGCAGACGGATAACTTGATGGTAAGCAATTGGCGCCGTCCATGGAAACCCGAAACACCAGAGGCGTTACAAGTGCATTACCGGCCTTTTGGGGATTAAGTTTTTTGAGGATCGTTGAGGATTCAGGGATTGGGTAGATTGGGAAGGGGGGTAATAGGACTTCCAGTAACGTCAATCACACGATGAAACACAACGCAAGCGTTGTTTTACGTCTGTTTTCTCTGAAGCCGTGGTATCACTCCGGTCGAGCTGGCGCATTCGTGACGAAACATGGCTCTCCCACACTTCAGATAACAGATTAAATAATAATAAATTAACAATCTACTTAGATGTGTATTAGAATTTCAAAATTCAGTTCAATCATACGGATTCATTACAAATTACAGGGTTCACCCTGAAAGTTTGTATTTTAACTGAAAACAATATTTAATGATATTTAGCACCGCAATTCAACAGACTGTTTCAATTTGAGCATTAGGTAAATTCTCAATTTGAGTATTGAGCAAATAGGTACCATTTGAAGTAAATTTCGCATAAAACTTGATAAAAAGCTATCTGGTAACGAAATCTACCTATGTGGGTATCTACACCTAGGTTTATTGGTATGAATGATAGGTATTGAAAATTATATCAATATTATATGTAGGGTATTATGTATATAATCTAAGGCAGTATACAGTAAAGGTACCCTAAATAAATCACCTACATCTCTTACTTGTCTATATGTCATAATATTGGATACTTTTTTTTAAACTCTCATGACACTTGACCCAGTTTTTTTGTTAAAATGTGATGACATGATAAATTAGGTATTTTAAAATGTAAAATTGCAAATTTATGCCGCTACCTATTAACTAATAGAAGTAATACATGTTAATATATTTTTTGGAGGAAATAGATGGCCTAGTCGTTACGTTCCACACATTTTTATGCTAATTAAATCTATTTTTAGCTAAACGTTAAATCTTAAAAAGTAATTTATTTAAAAAATATACAGAATTGTGACGTTTACGCTGTCCTTAGATGAACGTTACATTAAATTAAATATGATCGCCTGATCGCTGATATTAATAATTATGCTAAGTATTCATATTTCTGTAAAAAAACGTAAAGATTAAAGTTTATACCTGGTTCATTTAATTGGAAATTTCAAGGATATCGGTATTAGTACCCATTATTTTTGAATTAAATTAAGATATATCGATTAAATAATATTTTAATGTTAAGAGTACCTAGTCAATAAAGAAGGTATATTCGTGAGTTTTATGCTAAAAAATTTAATGCTAATGAGAGTCGTCATTAACTTTATTTTTCTCATAAAATTTGCTACAAGCCTACACTTAGTCCACAACGAAACCATGAGAAAAGTAACCAGATGACTTTTTAAAAAAAATCTCGTTAAAGGCTTAACTATGAGAAAAAGAAGATTCATGTGATACATATGTTTTTTTAATTTCCATTTTCTTCTTTTATGTCCTGAGGTTACCACCAAGGTTTTAAAAAACACTTTAGAATAGTGTCGATTTAAAAAAAACTGCTCTTACCTTTTAAAGAAACCTAAGGCCTGTGTAGCTGTACCAGCAAACGCCACTCGTCCTTCAGCTAGAAGGACCAGCTTATCAAACTGTGCCATCAGCTCCGTATTTGGCTGATGAATGGTACAGATGACGGTCTTGCCCTGGACAGCACTGGCTCGAAGGAGGGTCATCATTTGGTGTGCTGAAGAGGAATCCAGACCCGTCGTTGGTTCATCGCAGAAGAGAAGTCCAGGGTCTGTTAGAAGCTAAAAAAGAAGAATTTGTGAGAAAAGGTTCATTTTGAAGTGGTGCTATACGAAATTCTTGTTCAATGGTCATGTTTATGATTAAGTATTTAATTATACATAGTATTGAATTTAGTGGCGTTTTGTAATTTTCGATGGATCTTATTATTACGATAACTGAATTATTAAAGGTAATGAACGAAATGGAGATGCACTCTTTACTTTTCTTCATCTGTGTTGAATAAATTTTATTTAGTAAAATGCGAACAGAGATATTCTGATTTTCTTACACATCACGGTACCGTAACATATGTATTTCTAAGATCTCTTTCATTCAAGAGATATTATTTCACGCAAGATCTAACGCATTAAATATAAAGAAACATCTATTTTCGACCTTAAATACCTAGATGATGTAAACATCGGTGGCACCTACGTAGATCACGGAAATGTACCCACTTATTGTATATCTTGTTTGTGATTCGTGTCTGGGATGCAAATTACTGCATTTTGTATATTTATTTGTTGATGTAGTCATAATTTGGATAATGTACCAACTACTTTTTTATTATAAAAAGAAGTGGTCGAACAAGGATGTATTTACGTGTACCTACAATTGAAACAAATTTTTGGGCTGGGATTTTTTGATTTTGTGTTTTGTTCTTCAAGTTTATGGAATAGGAGGCAAACAGGCAGACAGATCACCTGATGGTAAGCGATCAAGCGTCGCACATGGGCATCTGTAACACCAGAGGAGTCACAGGTGCGTTGCCGGCCTTATAAAAAGGAATACGCTATTTTCTTGAAGATTTGAAGGTCGTATCTGTTCGGAAATACCGCCGACGACAGATCATTCCACAGATTTGCTGTGCGAGGCAGAAAGCTACGAGAAAATCGCACAGTTGCGGCCTGCTTACCATCTATATGATGAGGGTGGATACGCTGTTGTGAGGGGAGCATTCCCCGTGACATAAGCCATAGAAGATATACAACGAAGCTCATGCTCAAACATGTCTACATTGAAGACAAATTTGATTTTTATAAGCATTAATGGTACTTAACTTGTTGAGTACCGTCATTATAGACATAGACACAATTAAAGAACAATAAGTTGCGGTCACCGGTGACCGCGCGGTGTTTGTCAGTTTAATGTCAACTAAGACTATAAAAAACTGCTACTAATTGAACTACTGAGTAATCCAACGAACTGAATTCATAGTTGATTGAATTCCATCAAGATTCCAATGATTGATCAAAGTCGATTGATAAAAAGAATAAACAAAATCAAATGAATTAGTGTCAATAACCTTGTCCTTTTTTATTGATAAATCAGATAAATAAATTAATAAACATAGGCGTTGACGTGTTATTATGATCATAAATTAATAATTTTGCACTTTTGTTGCACATTGTAGTCGGTATCTGAGTTTAAACAAATAAATTACGCAAAATGAAATAAGATGTTATACAGCCATTAATAATAACATAATAAATCATTTATTGAATCGAATCGAATTAAACATTAATCATAAATGCAGAAATTCAACTTATTATACAAAAATATCGAGTAATGTTAATTAATAACAGAATTTATCTGAACTCATCTCATCATTGTAGGGTATGTTAATTCTAACCGGTTCGTTTAAGTAATGCGTTACCTAAATGCCATCTTCTAACTTGACGTAAAAACGTTCGGATTTATTCTATCTTTACATTCCATTGCCTCTAAAGACGCATATATTTAATAGGAATAGTGGATATTCTTTGATGGATGATAGATATGCCTCATATTATGTATACTAATGTATAAAATTATGATAAATAATTTATGCAAAACGTAAGAAACCAACAAACAACGTTCTATCTTTCATATCAGGGAACAGATAATATGGATCAATGAGACTATAAAAAACATTTTTTTAAAGGGTAACTAACAATAGAGTTTCTAGCTCGTTCTTCTTCATTCGAAACTACACTTTGGAACGAGCATCTAGCAGTTGAATTTGTACCACTGTTCCCGAGATTTGCGCTTGATATATGCCATTATATTTCACAATATCATTAACACAAAATATACATGACATTTGTAGAAGAGAAAGCAACTTACTTCTGTGGCGAAGGCTAGCCTCTTCCTCTCCCCACCAGACAAGGTCTTTCTTCCATCCAGACCTCCAATCAGCGTGAACCTGGACCCGTACAGTGAAAGCTGACGCAGAAGCTGGTTCACTCGTCTCTTGCGAGCCAAGGATGATGTGCGTGCGTCCATGCGGAGCCTGGCCTAGGGAAATTTAAAATACAAAATATTTATATCCCTGATTCAGCTTACACTCTGACTGCCTCGTTGGCCGAGTGGTCGCAAGTGCGACTGCCGGGGCAAGGGGTCTCGGGTTCGATTCCCGGGTCGGGCTAAATAATAATACTACAGGGTTTTAAAAAAAATCTCAGTATTAGCAAGGAGTCTGGAGTTGTGCCCGGTATATGGCATTAAGCTCACCCCCTATTACATGGGACTCATAATATAAAAAAGTTAAAAGTTGGTGTTATATTGTACAGTGGCATAATGTGCACCTCTGCCTACCCCTTCGGGGATAAAAGGCGTGATTTTGAAGGCTGGTTTGTTTTTAGAAGACAATACGAAAATGCTTGTAAATAAAATGCCATTTTTATATATGCCAGTAACTTGGAAGTTGGTATAATAGCGATAAGTGTAAGGTACGGTATAAAAGATGTGGGGCATTTAATACAAATTTAGAACAAACAGAAGGAGATAATATGATAAAGACTAAGATTAGTTTGTAAATGTAGGTCACATATATAACTGCATATTTGCAGAATAAAACAAAAAACACTTAATGGATAGGTAACTGAGAGACAGGAGACAGACAGAAACAAGAGAAGTAATGTTAATGAAACGTGAGAGTAAATTTTTTTTTTTATTTTTTTTTTTTAAAGAACGTTGTCCCACACTAGGATTTCTCCTGTGTCGTGGGTGCGTTTACAAACATTCAAGTTCACATACACATGACACCCAGACCCGGAACAACAATTTGTGGATCATACAAAGTGTTGTTCCGTGCGGGAATCGAACCCGCGACACGTTGCACGGCAGCCGGTTGCCCGGCCACCGCACCAAACGTGCAGTCAAATTGAAGCAGAATAGATAATTTAATAATAATAATATTCACTGATACAAATAGAAAGCCTACCAAATTACATCATAATAACAAAAAGCAGCAGACAGGACACTTACCATGATAGTAAGATGTTCCATAACAGTCAGATTGTCCACAAACAGGTCATCTTGATGCATGTATCCGCTTTCCTGGTGCATGAACTCTCCCAGTGGCGTCCCATTCATGGCGACATCACCATCGACTACCGTACCCACTGTTCAAATAATAATTACAAAATTAAATAAGGAGATCAATTTCAAATTAAAAAAATTAAATTACATTAGGCAATGCTGCCAGCCTTCTGGGTGCTTTTCTCACTGACGTCGATGCGGACGAATCTTTCGATGTTTTATGTAAATAGTTGTTTTTACTTTTATTTTAATTATTTTTATCTTAACTCCTCGAGCGTCCTTATGAGCACCCGGTGGATCATAAGAAAAAATGCTCCATGCTGCTTTCTCTTTTATAAAATCTATTATTAATGTTTCGTTTTTATTTTGACTGTATTTTTTATTTCAATGTAATGATCCTTGTTTTCGTGTGCCAATGGCCAAATAAATGCATTTTCTTTCTTTCTTTCTCCAAATGTCACTTGTGCACCCGTTGGATCATAAGGAACGCGGACGCTCGACGGGTTAAGTTGTAGGTATATGTATGATATTACTAAAACCAACACTGTATTTAATATAAATAACAGATGCAACTCAAACTTCGCGCCAAAATGGAAAACAGTTGTGCCAATCTAACAACTACAAAAAAACTAAAATTTGAATTTGGAACCGTAGACAAATCATCCATTCCCTATATTTTTTTTGACTGAATGTACCTATATTTAATTTAGTAATAGTTAGTATTAATTTTATTTAAGTTTTTATTAAATTATGGAGATTAATTTTCCTTATGAATCTATGAAATGAGTGTTAAGGAATGAACCAGTTTTCATTAGAAGATGTGCTTTGACCACTTGACCTTCTCTTATTCACATAATAATATGGTTATGACCAATAAATTACTTTAATACCTACGTAGGTATTACATTATTGGGATTATCGCTATTCTGTATCTATGTTAATGATACTAGATCTATAAAACTAGTATGTAGGTATCCCCTTATACCTACACAACTGATAATGAGCATTTTACATAAAAATCCAAATGCTATATCTACACTCTCGCGCGAGTCGAGACGACACCGAGATACATTGTCGTTATTCAAAGTCATCTCGTATTGCAAAACTGCAATGTACTTCAACTTCCTGTGCGGTCGCGCGAGAGTGTGTATGTAGCATCATATCTACAAATATTCGAATTCTAATTTCAAAAGAACTTTTTAATTTTTGGTGCCTTCTCAAGTTGATCATTCCAACTACCACGTCTATCTATTCTGTCTTTGATTTTCAACAAAAGTAAAAGTGTTCTTTTTATAAAAAATGTTACATTGTCATTTGAAACCTCCTTTAGTTGTTCAAGTAAGTACTATTTTTTTTTTGTTCTATATCTGGCTACCGGAATTGTAACCCTATACCAAAGATGTTTAAATAATTTATCGAATGACAAACGTTTCGGTGACACGAGTTGTTCTTTGATATTCAATGTACATAGTATAAGATTTCATTGGAAAATGTCAGAACGTCTTCATGCAAATGCTTGCATTATTCTATTTATGATATTTTTGGATTTTTCATTTACTTATTTCCTTTTTTTTGACGTGGACTTATACGTGGATTTTGTGCACTAAAAGGAAGACTAGCAATCAGGAGAAAAGTAGAAGAAAATTCTTATGTGCGTCAATATTGTTTTTAAAAATCATTAAATATGTACAGTCAGGTCAAGTTATTTGATATGCAGTCAGGTCAAATCAATCTGTATTGTTCTTATAACAATAAGTACGGATTGATTTAGTACAGAGACAGGAGCTATCTTGTTCATGATCATCTTTTACATACATATAATAAAACTGTAGAAGTGTATTAAGCACATTGACAATATTAAAAAAAACTTGGGGGTGTTACTAGATAACCACCAAACACAAAAACGTGATTAAAACATCTTTGTTTGTCTGTCTGTTTGTACGTTCACGCAACACGAAAAACCTACTAGTCCAATTACGATAAAACTTGGTATAATATTACTTTAATATCCTGGACACAACACTGGGTACTTAATATCCCGAAAAAGTATATATACACTAAAAAACAAAGTTACTTATGCGGCTCAATCTCTAGACACAGTTACTGTACCAAACGCAAATGTAAGTTTGTCGAATGTTAGGTTGCTCGCAGTGGACTTTACGCTGTAGCTGTTGAGATTAGCTTGGACCGATATTATGTATAAATGTAAAAATATGTGACTACGTGTGTTTGTGTGAAGAAGACCGGCTGAAGGGACCTATTGTCTAGAGTAACATAGGCTACTTTTTACCCGGGCACAGCCGCTGGCAGAAGCTAGTTATTAGATATAGTTTTTAACCAAGCCATATTTTCTTTCACCATTGGTCGGTTCAGTAGCCAACCAATGGTTACTGTCTCTGTACAATAACAATCTTTATTCTTTTATCTGCATACCTCCCAAATAAAACAGTAGGTACGTAGCTATAATTTTATTATAAGAATAAGTAAAGAGGTTTTATTCAGATTTATTCTTTATATCTCTATGCCAAAATGCATGAATGAGCTATTTATAAATACAAAATTCAAATTCAAATTGAAGTTAAAAATAAAGGGGGTTTCAAAAATAAATATTGTAGGTGTCGTCTACCAACAATTAACATTCCACGATATTGTTATTCAATTCACTAATTTTGCCGATGAACTTTTAAATTTCGAACTTATTATTTTATGAATACGAATTCGAATTTTGACTGAAAGTATCAAACATCAAGAATTATTTTTCTGTTATAGACGGCCATTATTATGCGAATATTATTGACTGTTTAAGACTATTAGTAACGATGATGTCAAATTGTAAGAGAATTCAGTATTATGACTGCATTTTCATATAATTATGCGAATTAACACATTCAAAAATTGACCTAACATAACAAAGATTGTATTAAAATGTTGCCAACGTATTTTTAATGTTATTTTGATTTGAACACATTATTATTTCCTAGCTGCTCTTGCGCAGTTTTATCTGCTTTTTTTATTGAATAGGTGGCAAACGAGCATACGGATCACCTGATGGTAAGCGATCGGCGCCGCCCATGGACACCCACAACACCAGAGGAGTCTTAGGAGGAGGAGTATTTTTTGGATGTACTTAATTGATCGCATCGAGATATTTTTAGTACAAGGATTCATGGACTTTGAAACAAATGGCAGAAACTGAAGGAAGCCTACATCCTAAGGGTAGAAAAAGGTTAAAGAAGAAGAAAGAAGAAGAAGAGAAGAAGAAGTTCCGAAGATAAATGCGTTAAAATAAACGAAACTCTTCGGTTTTATAATACCTAAGAAAATTGTATCTTCATTAATCATTTATCTAAAGTTCTAGAACCACATTTCTAAGACCCCAAACGACTAAGTTTAAATATTCTAACAGTTCGTTAAAAAAACCTTATTAAAACCCATACAACTAGCCGCCATATGCTAAGATAAAAAAGAATGTCTACGTTAATTGACGGTTACGCATGAAATTAAATAACTTTATGACAGTTTAAGGAAATGTTACCATATGCATAATTATGTAATCAAGTTGAAAGGTTTTGACAGACAGGTACACAGAGTATCAAAAAATATTTTTAGTTTTTGTACTTAGTGTTTCTAAACATTATTTAAGTGTTCCTAAACGTTATTAAACATTAGTATAATGCGTCAAGCGTGTCTTTGCATTGTTCTTACATATGCGTACAGTATTGAAATATGTATCAGAGACATTGTAGAACATACTTTTTTTAAAAGAGTAACGAATGGAGTTTCTTGCTCGTTCTTCTCCATTCGAATCTATCTTTTGGAATGAGCACCTAGTTTCACTGACGGACTGACTGACAGACTATTATTTATTTTGTATTTGTTGACGTTTCAAAAGTACCAAACCATAGTTTAACAAATAAATGCTTTGACTTTGACTTTGACATTAGTGTCCAACCGAAATTTCGGCTTCCATCGGCCATCTTCGGCCCCAAAAACCATCTTCGGCGACCGAAGCCGAAGTTTCACCGAAGGTCCGAGCAACCATCGAAATTGAACGAACTATTACGAAAGACTGAGTGAGGGAGACAATATTTAATTATTTATTTAGAAGATATTTTATTATTTATTTATCTAGTTTTGGTCTAGTCAAATAAAACAAAAACTGATTGATTGGTCTAATTGTAATTTGTGAATTATTATTTTATTAATAACGAAATGTTTTTTTTGCAATTAAACCACATACCTACAATATTACTTACGTACTATCTCTTAATTAACTTCTATATGAGACAGTCAATATCTATAATATATCTATAATAGCTTCAATGTAGAAGTTTTGAAATAATTTTAATATTCATTGTAGTTAGCTTGTAATACAATATTGAAGACAATTAATTACTGAGAGATTATACCAGTTTGGGGGTATATTAAAGAAGGGCCAAATTCAAAGTACCCTTAACCGACGAGCAGGAATGAAAAGATTGATGGCTGTTAATGAAGCGAAAGAGGTATGTAGGAATCGTAGTAATAGGGTAGAAGACTAATTTTTATTTTAATGTCCGTCTGGTAGATTATTTTAAAACATTAGACACGTATTTTTTCTTTTCTCACAGAAACAAATAGTTTCGAAGATATATTGATTCAAAATGTCGCGTGACGTCACTTCTCAGTACATTTTATACTAAGAAATGACGTTTTAGCCCCCACTCCTAAACTTTGTTTCGTTTTATCTAAGTATTGTTTTATTATACAACAAAATAAAAAAATACGTGTCTAATATTTTTTCATTACCTAACTTACGGACTAATTATATTTTTAATTTTCATACCCTGTCATCATCCCCATTGGCGTTCCCTAGTCTCTGCCTATCCCCATGGGAGTCAGGCGTGAACTTATGTATGTATGTATTATAAACCTTCGGCTTCGGGCGAAAGTGGCGATTACCGATTTATTGATTGATTGCCATCTGCCGATTGATCAATCCCCATTATAGACCCTATTTCCGATGTTTAAAGACTACCTTTGTATGAATAATTTTGGGGATTTCCGGTACGATATATAACGACTTAATCGGCTTCAGCTTCTAAACGTTTTATAACTTCCTGATATAATTACGTCATTAATTTAATTATTTAAGGCATTATGAATAGGACTCAAAATACCTAAGCCTTCCGATTTCGAGGTTATTAACATGAAACTTCCACAACGTGAATGAATTTGCGTCATTAACACACGCGTACATGACGCCACAAAATATTTTGACCTTAAAATTATTTTAAATATTTTACACATAGCATTTGATAATAATCTTGTAAGGGATTTAAACTCAATTCAATTAATTATTTTTTTATGGAATAGGTGGCAAACGAGCAGACGGATCACCTGATGGTAAGCGATCAGCGCCGCCCATGGACCCCCGCAACACTAGAGGAGTCACAGGTGCGTTGCCGGCCTTTTAAACAGGAATACGCTCTTTTCTTGAAGGTTTGAAGGTCGTATCGGTTCGGAAATACCGCCGACGACAGATCATTCCACAGTTTTGCTGTGCGAGGCAGAAAGCTACGTGAGAAGCGCACAGTTGTGGCCTGCCAACTATCTATATGGTGGGGATGCATATTCTGTCGTTAAGGTCGATGGCGAAAAGATGCGGCAGGTATCAAGTCAAACAATTCCTCAGAGCACTACCCGTGGTATAAGCGATAGAAAATGCACAATAATTTCAACTGAGTTATTTTGTAACTCTCAATTCGAAAGGTCGAAGAGAACTCGATCGCGGTCCACCATGTCATTGGTTGTGAGAATAATCTCGACCAATGACGGGCGAGAATACGATCGAGCTCACGTCGAAAGTTCGAATTGTCATCTTACAGAAGCCTAGCTAGTCTGGAATTAGTTTTTAACCTTTTAACAACTTACCTAAGTATGATAAAACTCCTATTAGGTATAATTAGTAGGTTTTTGTAACAGTCGGTACGTTTCGCCCGTAATACAATTAGCCATATTAGGTTACACAAGACTCTCTATCGAATATATTATATTCACAAAGCTTACATAAGTAGGTACTTTTGTTTGGTTGTTTTTTTTATGAAATAAGCCGGTAAACGAGCAGACAGATCACCTGATGGAAAGTAATTGGTGACGCCAATGGACATCTGAAAGACCAGAGGCGATACAAGATGCGTTACCGGCCTTTTGGGAATTGAGAATTTGAGGATTGTGGGCATTCAAGATTGGGGAGGGAGGGTAATTGGGCCTCCGATAACCTCACTCACACGACAAAACACAACGCAAGCGTTGTTTCACGTCGGTTTTCTGTGTGGCCGTGGTATTGGTCCAATCGAGCCGACCCATTCTTCTCCGATTTATTTTGTGTCGGATAGCGCATTTATCAAAGATGGTCTATACCCATCCTCGATTTATAGAATATGAAATGTATATAGCCTATGCTATAAAACATTACGACCAATAAGTGCCGAGCTGAGCGGGTGAAACAGCGCGGAAGTAGTTAGTTTAATATATAATAATTTTATGTTTAATATTGACCGTTTTTATTCAATTAAATACTACGGAATTTACCCACAAACAGGTCGGTGTTAGACTCAAATCAATGGAGACTTAGAATAGTGCATCGTATATTAGAATATTTCTATGCTAATACAAGATAAGCACATAATAAAATACCTATTATACATTGATATACAATTTTTATTGTATATCATCACTCTTTGTTTTTAATTTATTATTACTATTACGAAGGTTATTGTGGTCGGTATATATATAATACGCCACTATATATAATATTCCGATTTTTTTCGCTAAAATACTAGTTTGTTATCAATATTGCTGTACAAAAAAAAACATTAAAATTAATCTAAATTTTTCTAGGTTCAAACCTACAGTAAACTTTTCGATGATTCTCAACTAGTTTCCAGCCACACTCGGGGCTCATACCCATTAGCGACGACCGTCGGAGATGTGACCGTGAAATAAAAAGCCGTTATTAATATTATTTTACTTGTTATTAGATGTAATATGAAATTAAAATAGCTACAACAAAAATTTCGGTAGTTTTAGACACTAGCGAAGCAAGTTTCAACAAACAAAATGTCGACTTAATTATATATTATTTAATATGTATTATGGACCACAAATCAATCTGCATACAATAAATTACTACGAAAAACCTGACACTGATACCGTAGATCATCTACAATGAATAAATGAAAGAAAAACAGACAAAATTAGTAGCAAAAATATCAAGAAATCTAATATCTTTACTGATACACATCTGAAGCCATATTCATTACGGTACAAATTAACATAGATTAATAATTTTTGGAGAACAAAAGATAAATTGTTGATAAAATGCATAAAAAAAATAAAAATTAGTAACTCACCCGGACTTCGGTGTGCTAGCGCCGACATCAATGTGGTTTTGCCAGCTCCACTGCGACAGAGATAAAAAAAAATATTATACACAAATTAAGATTAGGCTACGTGAGAAATTCACAAGTTGACTTTTTTTCTATAATTAAATTTGCTTTTTTGAAAAAAAAAAGTATGAAAATTAAGTGTGGGAGAGCCATGCTTCGGCACGAATGGGCCGGTTCAACCGGACCAATGCCATGGCGTCACATAAAACCGACGTGAAACAACGCAAGCGTTGTGTTTCGTCGTGTGAGTGAGGTATCCGTCTGCTCGTTTACCGGCTTATGCCATAAAAACAACCTGTATAAATATATATGTATGTCTGTACGTTTGACATTGTTAAGCAGTTAGAATACTATCTGCCTCCTCTTTAGAGTATCTAACTGACTTGGTATGAGATAGATCTCACAAGATCTAACTGTAGAAAAATTGAGTTGCAAGAATTTTTATGCACCCATTCGGTAACCGAAATTAAAATCTAATATTTATAAGTATTAAGAAATATTTTAAGATTAATTTCTGTCATCAAATTACTCAGAGATTTTTGATTAACCTCTTGTAGCCGAGTATATTAGACACATTATATCTTGCGTAGGTCCGGGTTCCGGGATACTACGTGGTAATTTCGACCCCGAAGTAAGGCAATCATACATTCCGGCTACCAAGTGCACCACGGGCTTATTTCAGCCGTGAGACAACCAACCTAAGTCAGCCCATAATAGGTAGGTAGGTATTTACAAATCGTAAAACACGAAAGTAAAACGAAAAATATACCGAAAAATTTACCTACCTACTCAGTACGTATAATAAGTACCTATCTCAATGATAATTAAGACTATTATCGAAACTTGTTTACATATTACTCGATTTAAGACCTTTACTACCATTTTCATAGAAAATTATCATTGTACAAATATACAATCGTGATATAAGACAGAAATACCTTCGAGTTGAGGCCTAGGAGCATGCGCGTACGCAGTGTAACTTGAGAATAGTAATGTATGTACGGCTATGTCTGTATGTAGTTCATAACTTTCCAGTCGAGTTATTTGTATCGATAACTGATCATAATGAGGAAATATGTTTCTGTTTCAATGCTAGATTTTGTACTTAGAAAAAAAGTACGTGTGATCGTTTTATGTTTATTTTTTTCATTCTTTTCTCGTACGTTTCGTTGTATTGAAAATCGAGTTCAAAATCGATTGGTCAATTGAGTACTTGCCAATTATTCAAATTCAATAGATACTTTTTTCGAACTGTCAAAAACGACAGTTTTCTATGAATTATGGACGAGATTGTGTATTGTGACGTCACGTTTTTATAGCGTCAAACAGCATATAACATTTGCTGGAAATATACTAAAATTAAGTTGGTCGTAAAATCAATTAATGAAAGTATAAGTAATTATATTTTTATATTTTATTGTATTGAACAGTCGAAATAAATTATTTTTGATTAAGGAAAGTACCTACCCAGTTGCCGACACATTGCCATAGGTGATCAATTTTTTTAAATTTCGAACTCAATCATACTTCGGTTGCTTATTTTACCAAGTGCAATAGGTACTGCCATAAAATAAAATAAAAGAATAAATTGCATTTTTTTTAATTTTCTTTTTTTTTCTTATTTGCATTTGATACCTATTTACGATGACTTATTAATTTATTACAATTGTCTACTAAACAATATGATAACCTATCAAAATCAATATAATATTTTGTAATCTAGTTCCTAAATGCATTTTTATGTATTTTCTATGCAAATCATAGCTGCACTAAGTGATATCTGACTCATAATGCAATTCCTATTTTTATTTTTATTTATAAAGCAATAAAAAAACATATGAATATTTATTACTTATCTGGCTCGTCACATGCGTTCTAAAATATTCACGTATTTATTTATTTTTATATATATTTACATGTTATTTAATTTCATGAATGACGTCCAAGTTCCTAACATATTAATAAAATAATTTAACAAAGCAATTGATTCGTGTTTTAATTTAATTATTCATTATTTATAAATATCTAAGTTTTTGACGTAAACTAAAATATAATACAAAAATATATCAATGAAATATGCAAAAATATATTACGTTTGTCGCGTGTGGCGTCGTCTCGTCGCGTCGCATCGTTACAGGGTAACATAATGGACCTATTTTACATTAAATTTAATATTAATGAAAAAAATTTAATTCACATTTAAAACTAAAAGGTTCACCTAATAAGTTTATTAATAAACTATACATTCCGAAGCAATTATTATTACGATATTGAATACATACCTACATCTTCTTGAATTAAATTCTTTACGACAATCATTTAAAAAAAATATTATTTTTCAAACGTAGTACCTATGTCTATAAAGTTATTTCTTGCCTAGTTACCTACTAAATGAAATTTATGTACATTTTTAAGCAATTTTATCGAAGACTAGCTATTTCCGCGAGGTTTCACACGCTCTGCTCATCGTGATATTTTATAGCCTATAGCCATCCTCGATAAATGCGCTATCCAACACAAAAAGAAATATTGAAATCATACTTGTAGTTACGGAGATTAGCGCGTTCAAACAAACAAACAAAAAAAACAAACACTTCCGCTTTACATAATAGTATAAGATTGTCCTTGATTTTTCTTGATTTTATTATTTGCGATCTTTCTCCAATGATTAATATATTGATATAATAACACCCTTTGTACCGTATTTTAGCAAATAAACGTTTTAGACATACTTTATACTATGTTTTAGATAGAATAATATATTAGGTACTATTAGGTATATGTAAAAATATTTGTCTTTGTCTGTAGGTATTTCTCCAGTAATAGTAATTGTTAAAACTAATACCTTTACGAGCGATTCTTGTATATAAGTATGACGGCCAACGGTCTTGGAAATAGTACCAACGATTTTCTTTAATTCTTATATCTAACTAAAGGTGTTCGAGGACGATAATTGGATATAGCTGGGTTTCTTTGCACTGTTCTCACATATACGTGCAGTATTGGAATATATATCAAAGACATTGTAGAACATACATTTTTAAAAGGAGTAACGAATGGAGTTTCTTTCTCGTTCTTCTCCATTCGAATCTACATTTTGGAATGAGCACCTAGCTTCACCTAGCTTCACTGACTGACTGATTTTGTATTTGTTGACGTTTCAAAAGTACCAAAGTATGGTTTAATTGAAATAATGCTTTGACATTTGACTTTGGTTTCATTTAAAAAAATGTCGTTCACTAAAAAAAAAAAATACCGATTAAAGCTGTGTCATCCAGGTCAGCTATTCATTATCGTTCCCACGAACGTGTTACATTTCATAGATACAACATGTAACATGTCCACTCAATGAGAAACGGAATATTAAAGTACATAGATAATTTGTCCATTGTCATCATTGTACAGAAATTAACACTCATCTTATGTTACCCATCAAAACACGACATGTGTCATGGTTTGACAGTTATCTTGTATTCTATGTTATGTGTGAAAATTCTTTCATTTATCTATTAAGATATAAAATCGGAGTACATATATGTATGTAATGTTAAAATAACCGAATATACAAACGATAAACATACCAAAATGACATTTTTTACAGTTTTTGTCTGTTTGTACTGACTAATCTCTAGAATGGCTGGACCGATTTTGCAAGACTTTTATTGGTAGGTAGCTGATGTACTAATGAGTAACTTAGGCTATTAACAGAAAAAAGTTATGTTCTAAAATTCAAATTCTATACGGACAAAGTTGCAAGCAACAGCTAGTTTATGATATGATGCAAACGTTTTATGATAACTGACAGACTACAGACCATTTAAAAGTAGTTATTCTTCTTCGTGATATTTTTAAGTGGAAATCCTTATGATTTTTATCGATTCTAATCTTTAAACTGATGTAGCAATAGATAATTGGGTGGTTTTTTTATTTTGCATTAGCTGGCAATGTCATTTTACAAGATAGGTACGTATATTTTTCTAAAAGTAGATCTGACGTAAACCATTATTTAATAAAACATTTGTTTTTTAGTCCCGAACTAATTTAAATAGCGACAAAATAAATTCTTAGCATTTTTTTATAGCATAAGCCGGTAAACGGTCAGACGGATCACCTGGTGGTAAGTAATCGGCGTCGCCCATGGACACCCAAAACACCAAGGCGTTACAAGTGCGTTACCGGCCTTTAAGAAATTGGGAATTTGAGGATTGTGGAGGATTCGGGGATTCGGGAGACTAGGGACTAGGGGGGTAATTGTGCCTCCGTTAAACTCACTCACACCACGAAACACAACGCAAGCATTGTTTCACGTCGCTTTTCTGTGAGGCCGTGGTATCACTCCGGTTGAGCCGGCCCATTCGTGCCGAAGCATGGCTCTCCCACACTTAAATTGTCAAACACCGAGTGGTCACCGGTGACCGCAACTTATTATTCTTTAATTGTGTCTATAAATACGGTACTCGACGAGTTAAATATTGCACGCACAATTATACGCATCTATGGTAATTGACAGTTCCAGGTTTCAAAAATAAATTTACATAATTTAGGTAATACTGCCATTTCAAATAATGGTTTAAATTAATAAAAGATAACTTACCTCGGTCCCATTAACGCAGTCATTGTGCCCGGTTTTGCGATCCCACTGACTGAAACAAAAATACTCTTTATATACACTAATACATATATTATATATACTAATAGGTATACATAATACTCATAATACAGCAGGTTTTTATCTGTTAGCTTTATGCAGCAGCTCATCTTTTGCACAAAGTAGTTTTTTTTGTTACAATTGGCTCACATTAGGATTTTCTTTCTCATTGTTCACATGACACTCAGACTTGTAGATCACACAAAGAATTACTCCTTGCGGGAATCGGACCCGCGACATGTTGCACGGCAGCCGGTTGCCCAGTGACCGCACCAACCGTGCCATCAGCGGAAATAAAGTAAAACATTGAATTTTTCCTAATTAGGGTACAATCGCATCTGAAGCGTGCTTTAATTAAAAAGAAGTACAAAATTGTCAAGATAACTATAAACACAATAAAGCAGTTTCCTAAATTTTATTTTAATGTCCGTCTGGTACATTAATTTAAAACTATAGACACGTATTTTTTCTTTTCTCACAAAATCAAATACATATCTAATTCTAATTTGAGATATCGTGTGACGTCACAGCGTGTCACATTTTGTAGCACGTTATGACGTACGACTCCTAAACTTAGCGCCATTTAATCTAAGTATTGCAAGTTAATACGAGAAAATAAAAAAATACGTGTCTAATATTTTTTCATTATATAACTGACAGACTAATTAGATTTTTAATTTTGATATCCTGGCAACTAGCATATTATTATGTCTGTTAATGTAATGTAGACAATGGATCCAGTAGATATTAAAAAAAATTATTATCATTCAAACACGTCATCTCTACCGAGTTACTTGTAATTGATACACATGAGACAATATCGCACGGACATCACATATCAATTGCAAAAAATCTCAATATCTGTCCAACTTATCTTTGTAGAAATATCTCATGTTTTATGAATATCAAGTTTGTTCATTTGTTTCTCACGATAGCAACACGTCACCGTGGCGGCGTTACATACAATGTTTTTTACCGACTTCAAAAAAGGAGATTCTCTGTTCGATTTATATTTGTGTGTATGTGTGTATGTGCGCGATTATCTCGCGACTGGCTAAACCGATTTTGATGCGTTTTTCAGAAAAGTGTTACACTTTTTTTTTTTTTTTAAGGGGGGAAAATCATCGAATGACTGCTCCCGCCTGGGTGAGGCGGAAGGGAGTGTCAGACTCTTACTGACTAAAAACCACCCCGTTCCTTCTCATGCACGTCGAGCCGGAGCCCCGGTTACCCGTTAGGTTCTCCGCGACTCCGAATCGGCATCGGCCCTATTGGGCCCCATCTGTGAAAGTGTTACACTTAGGAGAACGTAGTACCTATATTAATTAACCGACTTCAAAAAAGAGCGTTTAGGTACAATATCTATTAATTGGGATTTAATTGTTTTAGTAAATACTTTTTTAATACTAAAAACAACGTAGTTTTCTTAGGAATTTTTCTCGAAAAATTATGTAAGTAGCATAAATATTTTACATTTACTAATGTAATCAAAATTAAATAGGTAGGTAGGTAGGTACGTTAAATTTTTATAGCTTGCTCAACGAGCTTCGGTCATTCATACCCATATATTTGCTTTCTCTAAAAAAAAAAAATATTAATTAATAGTCGTGAAGCTTTGTTAAACCTTATCTATATTCAAACGTAATTAAAAAATTGTTAACATTTCTTTTATTCTAAAAAAAGTCTAGTTTTTTTTCCGAATACATGACAAATAGACACTTGCCTATACATATAACAAGCTGAACAGCCAATTAATAAAAACATAAATTAACGTAATTTAAATGGCGCCTACGAAAATTAATTACACAGAAATTATTCATTTATGAATAAATTACCTTACATTATGCAAAAAAATTGAATAAGAACTAACTAACTATACCTTTATAACCCAGGCGAAATAAATTTGACAATTTAATGAAGAGCGCTTGTGAATTCATTCATGGACTAGTATGTACCAGTCGTACGACATGAGGATCATAAATAATATAATATAATATTCGAATCATTGGTAATAATACTAGAAGGGAAAACAGGATTCGTTCGCTACACGTGGATATCATTGCACAATAGTTATACAATAATTTTCTATTAGATTTTAATCGATTTGAAAAAAGTTAACCTAGAAAAATGTACCAAGCGTATTAAAAGAAAATAAAAATGAATTATATTTTTTTTGTAAATAGGCTACAAAATAGCACTTATTCAATAATAATTATATATGTAGATAAATATGTGTGATCTATATGGTATGCGTTTTCATTCACATTGCTGAAATTGTCCGTTGTCGTAACTTATACCTAATGCTAATTTGAAAAACAATTGAAATTGACTGAGTAATGTGCAGCCCGAAGTAGATTTATCTAGATAACGTTCAAAAGTGCCTTTTTGGTCTAATTGAAATAAATGATTATGACTTTGACGTACTCACGACACAAAATAAATAAAAGAAAATTTCCGAAATTAACTATGCAAAGTTATAAACTTTAAAATTTAGTTATCATCAACTAAAAAAAAACAAATACTTATGTTTAACCTAAACTTACTCGTAAGCGATCATTATTTGGACTATATTTCATAGAAAAAAATAGAAAACAGACCATTATCAATTCTCTCATTTGACTACAACGATGTCACAGATAAAAACAGAAAAAAAAACAATTTGCTACGCAAGATATGAATAAAAAGAAAAAGCTCTTACCATTGTTGACAAGCCTCTTCAGTTTTCCATCCTTTAGCTTGGTGTGGACTGTGAGGTCCCTCCAGACGAGGGTACAAGGTCTGAAGGTCGGACTCGGACCCAAGACCTCCTCAATCTCAGGAAATAACTGGTCATATTTCGAACTTGATTCTTTACTCTTTGAATTGTGTGGTATCATTTCCTACGCAGAAAAAAAAATACTTTAAAAAAACGAAACTTTTTTTGTTGTTTTTTTTTATGTGTTGTTCTTATTTTTTTTTGTTTTTTGTTAAAGTAACAAAACTTTACGTTATTATCTAATTTGCACAAATTAGTTTTTTATTGAATTTCATCTATTAATAATAATTTTAGCGAACCCACCTAATAGTAAAAGCCTATAAGTAATTATTTATTGTGGAGTTATTATTACTTCACATTAAATAAAACACATTAATTACGACACGTAACAAAGTTACAAATTGAATAATTAGATTAATGTACCTATTTACAGATATTTAATGTTAAGTAACTACTTCTATCGTTTTTCTGCCACGAGTGGTTTGGTCAATGTCCATTATGATAGTGAAGATCTATCTATATCTTAGATAATGTGTGAGATCTAGTATTCTTGTATCCAAATACCGGTTGCGTATAGTACTGGTACCCATAACGTACTACGCAACTTTAGCATTAATTAAATTAAATCACTAGTTACAGTTTACAAAAATTACACAATTAGTTTACAAGTGAAACAAGTGAATTTGTTTTTGCAAATAGGCTACAATGCAATTTTACACGTAATTATTTTAAGCGACCTATGCGACCGACATTTTCTAATTGATTACTCTGAGAAGAAATGCCGAAACAATCTCAGAGGTCCATCTCTTTTAAAGCCCCAGACAAATATGTATAAAAGATTACGTGTGAGAACAAAATAATATTTTTTGTTAATTAAAAAAACCTTTACTAACATTTTTCAAAATTAACGTTGCACTGTGGATTATGCATGCACACATCCTTATATTGTGCAAAAATCTATAACTTTGTGGTAAGATTATAAAAATTCTAGACGTGATACTCATAAAGTTTTTTCGAGGTTCATTTACACTACGCAAAGATCTTTACAACAAAAGTATTTTGTTTAAAAATCGTGTAAACAAGTGATTTTTTTTCGGTAAGGTTTTTTACACGACTACACTAGACCCATTAATAGATAAGATAGATACATCTGAACATGTACTATGTTAAATTGTTACATTTTAACTTTCAAACTATGAACTCAAAACCTTTAAACTTTGGAAATCATCACAACCTTGACCAAATTTTCATAGGTAAGTAGGTACCTAAGATGCAAAGAATGTTAATGATTAACACACTGTAAACTAAATATAAGCAGTTTTTTCTGTATGTGTTAAGTTTTTTTGTAAAAGCTGTTTTGTTTCTTTTTTTCCTTATTCCATTAGGCCGGAAACATTTTTAAAAATAAAAAAATTTCTTAAACAATACCTGTTTATGTTCTAAAACCAAACGGACCACTCACAAAAAATATTCTAAATTTACTTTTTTAGAAGTTTAATCACACGATAAATATTTAAATAACCGCGATAAGAATACGATTAACTTGACAAGTTGCATAATGTATGAATAACCAAAAGTTTATTTAAATTAATCACAGGACTTCGCACAGAAAAACACTTGGTCACTTTCTACCGAATGGAAGAAAAAAAAATTAAACTATTTTAATGATATGTGAGCACAATTTTCTTACATAGGTTTCCGCGACGGTCGGTTCTGGAATGAAACTTAATCTGTCTCCATCGGTCTTAGGATTCCCACTCATTGCTATTACAAAAAAAAACTAATAACTATTAAAAAAAACGTAATTTAAATTCGGAACTGGAGCGTAGTGGACAGTATTGTCGGCGCGTTCATTTTACCGATTGCTACGAAGTTTTGGCGCCGGAACATGGCGCGTCAGTCCACGAATGCCGCGCTCATGGTTTGACATTACGTCTTACGTTAGAGGGAGAGAGAAGTTTATAGAGCAGGATAAAAGTATTTTATTGGAAACAAAAGTTTAATGCGCCGACGAGATAAGGCGAAGATCTGAGGTATTCCATGAATGATGTGCCTTTTAATTAATTCGTTTTTTGTGGTAACTTTGTGCAATGATGATGTCGATTCATTGAATCATGCTGACATCATAATCATCTTACGTTTTTGTCTTGAAGATATAGGAAGAAAAGGTGAGTCCTAATAGATGGCAATTTGGTACTTTCCTTAATGAAAAATAAATTATTTTGACTGTTCAATACAATAAAATATTAAAAAATAATCACACTTTCATTAGATAATTGATTTGATGCCTAACTTAATTTCAGTATTGTTCCAGATGTTTTTTTTAAATAAGTCATTGTTTGACGCAAATAAAAACGTGACGTCACAATACAGAATCTCGTACAAAATTCATAGAAAACTGTCGTTTTTGACAGTGCGAAAAAAGTATTGAATTTGACTTGTTAGTTGGCAAATACCCGATTCTGTTATGTTCGATAAATCCAAGATTCAACACAACGATCACAATGGAACTAAAAAAACCTATATAGGTATATTATTTTAGTATTATTACTAGGCCCTACGTAATTCTTTGTAAAATCTCGTGTTCTCATATTACAAACTAATTTATAAAACCACAAGTAAGTAGGCATAGTGTTATAAAAAACTATAATGCTGACACGTGCCTCCGAAATGATAACAAAAAATTTTTACGTGTCAATAGAACTCGTAATCTCTTGATCCGTGAACCGTTTTAGGCCTACTGTGACTACTGGGGTTTATTGGACTGTTTTCTTTGTTTTGTGACTGTACTGATGTGCAGGCATTTTTTCTAAAATTTACACCAATAGCATCGCATCTAGCATGCAGTCTAGAAGTTTATCTGTGTTATTGGTTGGACTATTGCAATTGTGCATGTGAAATTGTATATTTGTAAACGCACCCACGACACGGGAGAAAATTATTGTATGGGGCAATGTTTTTTTTAAAAAAGGACATTTTATAGTTTTTATTATATTATGTCGGTGTTATCGACGTGTGTTTTTTCATATAGACTTACATTTAGCCAGTCTTGGCTTGACTTGGCCTGGCTAAGTATGGATAACCATAAACCAGACTAACTTATAATGACTTAAACTTCCACATTGTCTATAGGTAAGCTATATGCTCTTCTGGGGAGAGGTACCGTACCTTTTTGGCTGTAATTCCGGTTTCCATTATCAAATTAACTGAACTAGAATGCCTCAGCGGTCGCAAGGGTTACCGGTGTGCGTGGGTTCCCGTGCTCAGTTTCCGGGTCTATGTGTAAAATAACTGACGAAGCTAAGGTTACAATGTTTGGATCCCGGAACGAGACTAAATACAGTACTTTTCTAACAAATTCAGTTCTTATTTTCATATATTTTAATTGAAATCAATGGAGCCTACCATATTTTTACTCACCAGATGACGCTAGTGTGACGATCAAATCCGATCAATATTTGTCTCCTACAGTGATTAGACAAAAAACCTGTACATTTGCGTGCGCCATCTGGTGAGCAAAAAAAACGGTAGCCCCTATTGAAATTAGAAAAATAAAATATTTTTTTAACGCAATAATTTCTTGGAAGTTTGTTTAAAGGTATGTATGTACGTAAATCCACGAATTTCTTCCACAGGGTTGATAGAAATAAGTAGTACTTATTACTTCTCCTTACGTTTCAGTGCATTTGGTCAATGGAGCATGTTGTTTAAAAAATTACGTACATATTAGCTACCAGGAAAATTATCAAAAAAACTATTTTTAAAATCAAAATTGCCATGGTCATACCAATACAATCTGTTGCTATTTTTATCAATTCTGATTAAAATACCACGTATTCTTCGTTTCACGTTTTGTTAAGGACATTCTTCTAATTAAGATCATATAATAATGTGGTTATTCTAAGAAATAGTCTTAAATTTTATGCACGCATCTTTATAATATTATAAGGTTAAAAAATATGAGTAAGTAAGTAATAAAAGTAGACTACTGTTCTACTTTTATTAGTAGTTAAAGAACGTCAGATACTTACTAGCTTTTACCTGCGGCTTCGCTCGCGTCACAAAAGGATAAAAAGCCTATGTGACATATACCAATACACACAGCGCCATCTATACCAATACTTTTGTTTTTCCTTGAGAATATCAAATTTTTCCGAGTTTAAAAGTACCCTTATTTAATCCGGACTTCTAACTTTACGTCTGCAAAAATTCAAAGCAATCGGTTTAGTAGTTAAGGCGTGATAGTGGAACAAACAAACAAACAAACAAACTTACTTTCAGATTTATAATATTAGTAAGGATATTAAAATTATTATTTACTTAGATTTACCTTTTTTCTATATTTAATATGTTATTCATCATCAACAGCCGGAAGACGTCCACTGCTGGGCAAAGTCCAACTTAAAGCCGGTAGTAACGGGGTGGTTTTTAGTCAGTAACAGTCTGATACCCCTCTTGCCTTACCCAAGGCGGGAGTAGGCATTTGAATGACTTTTCCCCTTTCAAAAAAAATGGAGCAAAAAGTAGATATGTCTATTATACAGTCTAATTAGTATTACTAGGTACCTAGGCTTAGTACGAGCAAATTAGATAAAAAATCAGAGAACATGCATTGGGCATATTTGCTGCTATTTTTTTCAACGCCATCGTGTGTAAGTACTCAATCATTTCGAAAATCAATTTTGTGTTCACTATCAGTATAAGATCAATCTATACTAACTAATATTATAAAGCTGAAGAGTTTGTTTTTTTGTTTGTTTGAACGCGCTAATCTCCAAAACTACTGGACTGATTTGAAAAATTTTTATTTGTTAGATAGCCGATTTATCGAGGAAGGCTATAGGCTATAAAATATCACGCTACGATTAATAGGCGCCGAGCAGAGCGAGTGAAACTGCGCGGAAGTAGCTAGTTTTATAATAACTGACGTCACGTATTGTGAGACATACTAAATTAATTAAAATCCCGGGTTTCTTGCGTGAATATACTGAGAAAAGCTCTACTAGTTTCGAACCAGAGGGCTTCTTCCTCATTCCTCATGCGCGATTGCGGGTTACTCACGTGAATATACTTTTCTCAGAATATTCACGAGAGTAACCCGCGATTTTAGATAAATAAGATCAATTTGTTTTTTATCAAAGTAAATATTTTGCATATTTATGTGACAAATAGATGAGACGTATGTTAAAAATAGTTCATCACAGATGTTATCAATAAGATGGAAAATATCCATAAACACAATTAGACATATTTTGGACATATAGTTTTTTTTCCCCGAGTTCTAAAATAGTTTTATAAGCACGTGCATGATAATTACATATCCTGTTACTAATTATGTGTGTGACATGTTGACAAACTAGTATTTTCACGTGACTTCACTCGGAGGCTTTGCTTCTTAGCCTAGAGCGGATTGAAGATGTAATTTTTCTAAAATACCTGAAGCAAAACTACTATTTATGTAAGGGCCGATTTTTCCAGCGCTACATAAATTTTGACTGAGGAATACCTTTGAATATTTGACAATTCTTCCATACTGAAAACTGTCAACTGACAATTTTATTCTACAATTAACAGATGACTGAAAAATCAGCTCTTAGTAGTCTGCATAAGTTACAAATCAAACAACTGAAATTAGTTGTCCATAATATACAAAGGGAAAGATAGATGTTACACAAACAAACTAAAGAATCTATACAGATAAATGAAATTTGATTGTCTGTTTGTAATATTAAAATAACCGCTTTTAATTACATGCATATGAATACGATATACACAACAAAATATCATTTTTGTCTGTCTGTCTATTTGTATGTACTGGCTAATATCTACGGAATGGCTGGACCAAATTTGCAAGACTTTTTATAGGCACCTAGCTGATGTACTTACTAAGGAGTAACAGTAACATAGGCTATTTATATTTTAGAAATTTGTAACAAAACAGTATTAGTTATGTCCTAAAATTCATATTCTACGTGGAACTACGAAGTCGCGGGCAACAGATAGCTGTAGCTAATATCATCAATTTTTTCATTCGAAAATCAAAAATTGACATTAAAAATTTATAATTTATTCTCTATTTTTGTGTACAAATTTTTACAACTCCTATTTTGAGTCATAATTTACGCTCACGAGCGTAGTATATGATTCAATTACATTTATAAATGTTACCAATATAAAAAAAAACCTGCATTTTCTGTATTGGCCACACGTGTAAGAAGTTCAAGGATACATTAAAGTGTCAGTCCAGTACACGAGCATCAACAATTAATTATAAAACAATCACTACATAGTATAAAACAAAGTCGCTATCCGCCGTCTGTCTGTCCCTATATACATAGGGAGCTTAGATATTTAAAGCTACGCAACGGATTTTGATGCGTTTTTTTTGTAATTGATTTTCTTTAAGTAGATTTTCTTCCAGTCCCGAGTGAACACGTTGCTCATAGGTAGGCGTGCTCCATCATCGGCCACAACATCGCTTACCACCAGGCAAGATTGTGGCTAAACGACGACCTATCAAGTAAAAAAGAAAAGGTTTTTTTAAGGGGGGGGGGAACATTTAATTACTTCTCCCGTCGGGGTGAGGCGGGAGGGAGTGTCAGACTCTTACTGACTAAAAACTACCCCGTTCCTACTCCTGCACTTCGAGCCGCAGCCCCAGCACTCCGTTAAGTTTTACGCGGCTCCAAAAAGAAAAGATAGAATGATTCTTAAGGAAGGTTTATATGTATAATACACGACTGCATTCCTGTGAAGCCGAGG